TTTTTTTTGATGAATTTGTTTCATATATGGTTATGAAATTGTTTCATATAATATTTAATGAAACTGTTTCATGTATTTCTCTAAAATTAAAATAATGAAGACGATAATATTCATAATTAACACCCTCCACAATAAAAATGGTTAATCAACCTCTCATAATTATAATTTGGTTATTTACTAAAATCGCCTTTTGGGGGGGAGGATGGATTGTTAGTGTAGACGATTTGATTGAGTATCGAGGAGTCAAGGTATTTTGGTCAAAATACCAAATGGAAAAAAAATGAACAAAATGAAAAATTATGATTGGTTGAATATAGTTTTCACAGTTTATACAAATTGGGTGGTTTTTATTTGAACGTTCCCCTATATATATATATATATATATATATACAAAAAGTTTAGGTGAAGGATTTTATGATGAGAGTTAAGGTGAGAAGTGTAAGAAGAGATCTGAATCCTTAATCACCTTTAATCTAAAATCCACCCACTGAATCACGCTTGATACGGGATTGATCCGGTGCATCTTAATGCATCTCATCCTAATGTGCATCCAAGAGTGGAGATCTTTCTTATACTTCACACCTTAACCCTACTTCTCACCGAAACCCAACACTATATATATATATATATATATGGATGGATAGATAGAAGATTGGTTAGAAATGTAAATCTAACTTTAAATATGCAAAAGAAAAAAAAAATGGAACAATGGAATTCATATATAAGAAATTGGGCATACGTTAAAATGGGTGAATCCTTCATTAGCAAAGCTTATTGGTACAATGTACAGATTAAACAAGAATGTTACATTCTTTTTTCTCGTGTATCTCTTTCATCTCTATCAACCGAAACCCGAATCGGATGGCTATTCTGTTGTATATTGAGATATAATTACACCCGCTTTGAACGGGTTTTTACAACACAGTCAACAATGAGACAAGGTCTAGTTTACGGGTAATGTTACATGCTCATGGCTTTTGATGAGTTCTCTTCTTCACCTTCCGCCAACTGCTGTCCATCCGCTTCCTGCATTCACCACAAAAGCTTGTTTCAGAAGGAAAATCCCGAGAAAGCGCTATTTAAAGTATATTTCCAACAAGTTTGGCCTAAATGAGCCATAAAGAGGGGGGTGTCAGAAGCCACCATCTGGAGCACACCCGCATGGGGAGGTAAATCACTACAGATCAGCGGTAATTGGTGTGTGCCTGGGTTTGAACCCGACACTCAACAAAATCGGGTTTATAGGATGCGTAAGTTGTTTAAATATCCTAATTGACTGTTTTATAGGACTTAATTTATAGGACCAAACAACTGTGTACCTTATGTAAAAGCGTTGCAATAAATCTTTTAGGACACTTTTAAAATTGTATTAGCTTTTTTTACAGGACACTTTTAAAGCGGTCTATTAGAACACTTAAACATTTTTGGCATCTTACAAACCCGATTTTGTTGTAATGTGGGACCTCCTTTAAGGAAATGAGCCAGAAATCATAAGGGCGATATCATTTAAGTAACAACCGGTCAATTTATTTCTTATTTGGCCAGAAAATAGAACAATGGGTAACAGGTGGTCAAATCATGACGTATAATTGCCAAAAGAACAAAATTTTACCATGGAGGCAAACGAATATTTGATCCAGCTGATCACTACCAACATGAAGGATTTGTAAATTGCGTACCGTTTGTTCTTTATATCTCGTCTTTGCAAGATAATTTTCTAATGCACCATCCCCTCGGAGTATTTTCCCACCACATCCAGGTGAATCTACCGTGCCAACTGATTCTTCATCAATCACAACAGCATCAACTCGATCATTTCCAGTCTTGGCATCTGGAATCTGAAGTTAAAAACAAAGAGGGAGTTGTTTCATCCACCTTCAAGTTGAAAGGTGTATAGATAACTAAAAAGGCGGGCATACCTCGTACATAGAGTCGGTTAGAAGAGTTTCAAGAATCGCTCTTAACCCTCTAGCACCAGTGTTCTTGGCCATTGCTTTTTGAGCAATTAATCTTTGTGCCTTCTCTGAGAAATGTAGCTTGACCTACAGTTGACCAATTAATCAGCAAGAACGATTTTAAACCAAAACCAGTCAGTCCCACATGGAGCAGGGTTTGGGAGGGTAAGATGTAGTCCCTCATGGAGTAGGGTCTGGGGAAGGTAAGATGTACTTCTACCCCGAGGGATAGAGGGGCTGTTTCCATAAAGACCCCCGGCTTGAAAAAAGTTCTAGAAAGCATTATTTTGCAAGAAACATTTGGTTCCAAAAGTTCGGCATAGAAGAAAGAGACAAAACATGCGAGCTAATGAGAGAGATACATGAGCCAAGTGCTTACATCGTTCATCTGAAACAATTTCTTGTATTGCTTTCCAAGAGCGTTCTTTGGTTCCATGAGGACCTGTAAGCCACCAAAACATTAACCAAAGGGTCATTGGCCCAGCAGGACGTGGGTTACCGTTAGATCCTAACCTCCCTGGAGGTCAAGGGTTCAAGCCTCACCAAAGATTTGAAGTGTGTGCGAGTTTTGACGTATTAAATATTATATTCTTCAAAAAAATTCCCAAAAACACTTCTAAGATAGGAACATTACAACCAAAGGTCTCATTGGTCGCCAAAAGTATAAATCACACAACCAAACTAAAATGGGTGTTGAAGTGATGCAATTTACAATGAGCATACCTGAACAAGTTGATCTTCGGTTAGAGCCGACAAACTTACTAAAATAGGAAATCGTCCTATGAACTCGGGTATGAGTCCATAAGCTATAAGATCACTACTCTCGACCTGAAGATAGAGACAAAAAAGTACAAATTACATAATTATGGCTGGTGAAAGTTGATGGTAGTAAGGTAACAAAAAAAATTCAAGGCATTACAGATTCAAGTAAAGATGATGTGACAGCAGCATTTGTGAATGCACCATTTCTCATGTTAGCACGAACAGGTGCTCCAAAACCTATGGAAGAGTCCTGCCGTCTGACATAAACATGAATTTCTATTTAGACCCTTAAACTTCCCATAAGCAAGTTAAATAGTAAAACAATTTCTGGCCACAACTCAATTGCCAAAAAAATAGAAATAATATACAACAGAAGCAGTATGTGTTCACCTCTCAGATATGGTTTTTTCCAAATCAATAAATGCTCCACCACAAACGAAAAGGATGTCTTTCGTATCTATCTGCAAGTGTGCAAGTGCATTATAGAACATAACTTGCTAGAGTGATGGCTCATTCAATTCGGAAAAGCACACAGACAAACAATTATGTCCTTATGCAAGGTATTCATATTATTTTAGCTCTCAGAGGACAACTAGAAAACATGCAAACATTTAATGGAAGCATTTATCATCAACGGTTAAGAAATCAAAGCATGGTGAGAAAAGAGCTGTGACCAAAATCTACTTCGGCTGAAGCCATAACAGTTGACTTGCATCTGTGAACATCATTATCACCAGATTAATCATCTAAATTAAGAAATTGACATAATCTACTCATCGATCAAACCCTCACTGCTACAAACCAGACTCATTTCCCCTTCTCATTGGGTAAACGTGGGTGTCCGGGCCAGCTTATGCACACCTCGACTGATCCATGGGGACCTGAAGTCAACAGTCAAGAAAATCTTCAATGGTCCTGAGGAGACTCCAACTGACAACCTATGAGGAGGAGCCCCAAGGCCAAGGCCTAGCATTTATTTGCCAGTTGAGCTGGCCTTCAAGGTTTTGTTCACCCTTATCTGAGCTCCATATAAGCAAACCTGCTGCTTGGTTTTACAAAGACAATCAAAATGGATGTTATTTAGGGGACATGGTAATCTTCATTGTCTCAAACTCATGGTCAAGGAGCATCCTTTCTTCTTGTTAATTTTCAGTCGCAAACTAAGAAAGGATGCAGGTACAAGAATACAAGCATTTTGCGCCATATGGGGATACACTAAATCACCACATCTTGAAATATGGTGGAGATTCCAAATATATGTTATTAATAAATATACATGCAAGATAAAACACATCAAAAGAAACTAGATAACTTATTCCTTAACCAAACCACAAGTTGTTCCACTTGCCCTCATGAATCTGATCAATCAAGAACATAAGTTGCCAGCTTATCCTACACCTTATCCAAATCACCAAACCAAAATCAAACAAAACAAGTAGCGAGGATAGAACCACCACATATGTCCCCAGCTAAACAACATATGATCTAATCATCGTGATGATCACAAACAGAAATTAGATATATGGGAATGGCGGTCCCATGGCTGACCAAAATACTCCTATTAAGACATTAATGATTCAGTCAAAACTGAACATTTTCAAAGTATCCACCAAAAACAAAATGTGCTGCAAAGAAGCTACTAAACATAAATATTATTTCCTAATTACAAAAAGCATTACATGATCCAACTTCCATTGAACCCAACCAACTATACATTAGTCACATCAAAAATCAATCACGTCTCCTTGAGCACAATATATCGTAACACAAGACACCATAGCCATTCACATAGGAACACTGCTCACTCAAGAAAAAATAGATCACCTAAGAAATACTTTTTGCACCTATCAGAAGTCGTTCCCCCAATTAAATGTTGATGTTTCCATAAGTAAAGTATTGTTGTTATATTTCCACAAAGTTAGTGCAAAAAGTATCAACTGCAAACACCAGAAAAACACAGTTTGACAGCTTCAGCCTTGATGACCTCACTTCCATATTTTTACTAACAAGACAATTTAGGCTAAGTTTGGCAAAACTGCTGAAAATCTAGCTGTAAGCTGAAAAGTTAGATGTTAGGGAAAAGCTAGTTGTTGGCTAATAAGCTAGCTATTAGCTAAGCTAATAAACTATTAGCTAATAAGCTAGTCATGGTTGGTAAAAACTAGCTTATAAGCTAGATGAAAATGTAAAATGACCTTAAAAACCTGTTGAAAAACTAACTGCAAAAATACAAGGGGCATAGTTAGAAAAAGGCCCCCGGAGCTTATTGAGATGCTGTTTGAAGTAGCATTTGTAAAATATAGCTCATGGCTAATAAAATGGAGCTTTTTCAATAAGTTCAAAAAATCAGCTAGTTTATGGTTGCCAAACATGGCCTTAGTAATACAATTTGAAAAGCATAAGAGGGAAAGATGGAAAACAATTGAAACACCATAACTAAGAGAAAAAAAACAATTGAACCGAAAAAAGCATGATAAGATAAATCCTGAAGCAAAGATCACGCAATACAAATGCATAAGGAAGACAAGAAAGCACCAGAATCATGAGTAGGTTACAATCATCATAGTATTAGATCACACATGTAGAAATATCATAAGAAATCAAAAAAAGAATAATGTAATCATCTGGTGTACCTGAATGTTATCGCCTCGAGGATGCTTCCTGGCCCCCTTTTCAGGCACATTCACTATCTGCAGAGGATGTATTATTTTCTGTTAGCTAAGAGAGGTTGTGAAAGATGTTAAGAATTTGAAATGGAAGATAGTGTACCATATTACTTATGCCATAATAAAACCAAAAAATTTCATGCTAATGCCAGTAATTTGACAAAATGGTTGATCCTCCTCATCTTGTAACTCCTGAGAGTCAGACTCCTAGGAGAAAATGCAGACACCAAAAAGAAATCTAGCCAACTAGACAGAGAGAATCTATCGAACAAGCCAACATATACTGTGGATGCTATGATGCCGTTATGTCCTAATGATTGCAGAGTGAAGATGTAACATGCAGTAAAAAAAATAGCGCTAGAATAAGTCAAACAGATATATCCAACTAAAAACAAAGTAAAAGATTTCATGCAACAATACTACATATAAACCAACAGGACATCATATGTGTATGCAAATGGTTGTGTTTATGCAACCAATAATCAAAATGTAATGGAGCTGGTTAGAACAAATGCCTTATGCCGTCAGAATTAGATGACACATTTAAGTATCTTTCAATAATATTATCATCCTTCGAATTTGGTAAATCAATGGACACTAAAAGGATTAATGGACATGTGTTTCAAGTTCTCCTAAAGAGCTATAGGCTGTCATACTTGATTGAATTTGATAATTTATCACGGGTATAATTGCTTACAGTTCCTTCCAGCATCTTAAGCAGAGCTTGCTGAACACCCTCACCAGACACATCTCTGCTAATGTTTAAGCTCTCAGCCTGTAAAATACGCAAAAATGGAAAAAAAAATGTCAGATCTGGAAGCATGCAACATTTGGGTATAACCACAAAGAGAAGAAGCAAGCAATAATAATAATAATATGCAAAAAGGAATGAAGATGAAATCAAAACCTTTTTGGTTATCTTATCAACTTCATCAATGTAAACCATCCCTTGTTGTGCTGCTTGAACATTGAATTCAGCAACCTTGAAACCAAGTTGAAGCCATATGTATTAAACTTGTGAAGTGATGAAAATATACATATATAGTCATAAACTTAATAAGCACAAGAAAGTTCAGACGAACGGTTATGAACATGAAAACACAGAATACTACACGAATTAACATATAGAAATATACCCAGAAAGCCAAAAAGGTAGATAATACATAGCGACTAGTCTAACTCATTCTTTTTTGTGGATCAGGAATTGCAAGAATGCTACTTAGTTTTGATACAGATTTGCAATCTTACAAAAGATACAGCTACGATTACAAATTTATAATCATTACTGAAACTGCTTTCCATGACTCCTGAAACAGCGGCTTTTGCCCACCACCATTTCCACATGCTAGTCATCAAATTTCAAGATGGAAGCCGTAGAAAATGTCTTGTGTGATCAGTGGGCTCTACCCTAGACCCTCTCCTTAAGTTAGATTTCACTCACTAAGCAGTGGACCAACAACTTCAGTGGGTATGAGACAAGACGGAATAAAAGTACTTATCTGATCATTTTTAAGTTGCCAAATCCTAGAAAAGAAACAGAACAAACTTGAAGTGCCTACATTTCCTATACCAATAAAACCAATGAAATTATGGAAGATTTTGAGACAAAAACACAGTGACAATGAGTCTCAACTTCTGGATCAACAAGAACAGACAACATAATAAGAGCAATCATACAATCAATATATGAATCCTACCGTAAGTAGCTTGTACAATATAGATTCAACGTCATCACCAACATAACCAGCCTGCATAATACAAGAAAATAAACAACTATCATAAGAAGTAAGAACACAATAAGCCGATTCTATGATTAATGGGGTTTATAAGAACACAATAAGCAACAAAATCCCATTTCACAGTGATTTGATGGCCAGTGTGGTGATGGATAAAATCCCTCCGTCAAAGGTGGTTAAGTTCAGTTATCTTAAAGGAAAATTGAACAAAGTAGATTACGTGTGTGTGTATATATATATATATATATATATATATAATACTGGAAACAGTGTTCTACATATTGGATTTTCGGTCCATCTCCATAATCGTAAGATAATACATAAGCAACTGACTGACCTGTGTCAACGTTGTTGCATCAGCTATGACAAAAGGAACATTGACAAAACGAGCTAGGGTCTTTGCAAGTAATGTCTTCCCTGTTTCACAAAATGTTGTTAGCTAAATGTGAAATCAAGCTGCATAAACGATTAGCAATAGATTCCAATGAAAACGAAAGAAAGAAGAAAACTTTCTGATAATCATACCTGAACCAGTTGGACCCATTAAAAGTACATTGCTTTTTTCTAAATCTACATTGTCGTCGTCATCTTCAGTCCTAGATGTTCCTGGATCTGCTCCTGGCCTAGTTGCAATAAAGAAGTTTAGTTTAGCATATGATACTCAAGATGAAAAAATGCATGGGCTAACTGCTTAATGACTAACCCTTTCTGCAAGGAAGCATGATATATCCTTTTGTAATGGTTATAAACAGCCACCGAAAGGACCTGTGTATAAAATAGGAAACCAATTCAAGGGAAAATAACAAATAATGAAAAATGCTTTTGTACCACATTGACAATAACCCCATTGATTCGTATTCCTCAAGCCTTTCTACGTGTAAAATATCTCTTATAAAATATTTCATCCATATGGATTTTTGCTCTTCTTCTGTCTCTATGATTGTCAATTTCTCCTGAACAATCATTATTCCTCACCATCACATGGACTTGTAAGAAAGGAAAGGGAATTCAAGATGCATAATCTTCTAATCCTAGATTGAAGAATAAGGTGTCAACATCAGAGAGAAACATATAGATTTTGTGAAGACAACTTCAGTTTTATCTTCTAACTTCACATCATTTCACAAGCATAATCAATAAGACTTCATTTACGATAGTGTAACTAGATACATCACAAAAAGAAATGATCAGAACTCATTAACATCTATCCAGACATCAAAGACAATACTTCCATATGAGCAAAAGATCACACAGAAAGCAGAATGCAGATTAAGTAATACCATTATCCAATGTACCAAGTCACTAACTTATACACACGATTGTCACTATTCTTAGCAGTTTTCTCAATGCTCGCATCAGAAAGAGAAAAAAGTTGAAACCTTTTTAGCACGACGTTGACCAATGACAAACTTATCCAGTCCCTCACAAATCTCCTTAGGAGTAGGCAAATTCTTCCCCAAATTTGAGCCACCCCACCCATATTTCTCTCCACCACCGCCGGCACGTACAACATTCATCCCCGGTGCAAATGGAGGTACTGGAGGAGTGTGCACTGCCAGTCCATTACCAGACAGAGGAGGAGGAGGAGGCGGAGGATTTGTCCAATTTTCTGGTGGTTCACTACCATAAGACCTCAATGTCTCCCAAAATGAAGCCCTAAGTTTGTTCCCGAAATCATCCTCATCATTAGCCTGCCTTTTATCCTTCCCATTCACATTACTATTTTTAACCCTACCAATTTCAACAAATCGGCCTTGTAGAGGAGACATCTTGTACGGCCGGAAATAATAAGCAGTTTTACAATTCGGACAAAGGTTAACAGCCTGGTAAGCGCCTTTACGATTGGCATCAGAACCAGAATCAGGCGGTGATTCTGATTCATCTTCCGCAGAAGAAGACGGCGGAATGAGATGACCGTTATTAGAGAAAACCAGATTCATCTGCTTAGAACAACGAGGACAGTTAGCTTCTGCTCTAATCCTCCGCGTCATGGTTGGTGTTCTACTGCCGCTGTCGTCAGAACCACCACCGCCGTGATCCCATTTGTACCGTGTTTGCACACCAGTCAACGACCTCGGACGGATGTACGGACCGGCGGCGCCGGCATGTAACAGGCAATTAACGAAACCACGCTTCGATGTGTATGGGGAGGAAATTCTTGCTCCTGCTTCTGTTGCAACTACAATATCTCGAATCTTCCACCATCTCCACAATCCAGACATCATAATACGAAACTATAACCTTTTTCCTGTCGAATTTATTCAAATGGGCATGCGATTCAATGAATCAAAATTGCTTGCATTTATCAAACAAAAAAGGGTCTTCAGAATTGGTGAACTGTAAGTATATATAACCTGGAAAACGATCTATCTAATCCATAAATCTATCCAAATTAGGATTATATCCGTCTGCAGCATACATGATTTTGCGGGATGAAGGAATTTGAGCATGAAATACAAGAGAGGAGAGTGTTTGTAGGGAGAAAGCAGATCAATTGTGCTTAAACGAACCGTAAATCGCTCTCCACTCCCATTGCTTTCTTCCTATTTCTCCTTTGCATTTCTTATACGGCTTGAAACTTTTTCAGATTTGGTGACCAAGAAACGATACCTCCACGACACCCCTACCAAATAAAGAGTATATTACATTATCAGTCCCTCAGTTTTTGTAGTTTTCAACAAAATTGGTTATTAAATTCTTTTATTACAAACTAGGTTCGAACCCGTGTATTACACGGGGTATTTTACAGGAATTAAATGAAAGCAGCATGCATTTTATAAAGAATCTATAATAACATAAATAAATATTATGTAAGTAGTTAAAATATTAATAGTATAACAACCACGTATTATAGATTACTAAATACTTCTTTATATACAACATTATTTGTTCTATTGCCAATAATATCATCATCATCTATAATTAATACTTTCAAACCTTACTTGCTTTTAATTCTAGATAAAACAACATATAACTAACCATGAGTGAAGACCGGTTGTCTTATAAATAAAACAACTTTTGATAATGATTGTCCTTTGCTTTTATTTATGGTCACAGCAAAACACACAGCAACTGGAAATTGTCTCCTTCGAAATTTGAATGGAATCCTTTTGTATGTAGGTGTCAAAGACATTATTGGAATGAATGTCTGGCTTCCAATATTGCTTCCAAATATAATTTGTGTTTCTATCACCCGATTTCCCAATGATAACACCCGGTAGTCTAGTTCCATTATATAATCTGGATTTTTGATCAATATTCCTCAGTAACATGATAGGAACACCAACTTTTAGTAAGATCTTATGGTTTGGTATACCTGATAATTTAAGATCATTTTAGACATCAGGAGAGTACAAAGTTTTATCAAACTGATCGTGAAGTTGCTATGATTTACATAGCGTATCTGAACTTAAGTACTCCTTTTCGTCTCCTAGGAACAATGATAGCAAACAATCATTTATTTCTTGAACGACTTCAAATGTTTTGGTGCAAGTATTGCCATTTCTTGAAAATAAGATGAACTGTTGATGTTTTCAAGAATTGAGGGATAAACAAATTGTATTAATGCAGATATAGGATCCATTGAATCGATAATGAGAAGATCATGAGGTATATGAATAAGTGCCTCACCATCATTATCACCTCCAACTTCACCTTCTCCTAAGTCCAAAATCTAGGTTGCAAAAACCCTTGTTTGTTCAATTTTAGAACATTCACTGTTTGCAGTTAGCCTCATGTTCTTAGTTAACCTTAGGACTTTGCATTTTTCCCAAATGTAAGATGAACTTAACGATGCATTAACAATGTATTGTCTACTTGCGTTGGGAATAACCGGCAGAATTTGTCTGAAATCTCCTCCAAAAACAAATACCTTGCCACCAAAAAGCATTTGCGAGTCACTAATGCATCGATTATTGAAAATATCGTTCAAACTTCTATCCAATGCTTCAAATGCATGCTTATGAACCATTGGTGCCTCATCCCATATTATCAAAGTAGTCTTTTTTATTAACTTCGCAACATCACTGTCTGGCTTTATGTGACAAAGAGAATCTTCATTGATAATTAGAGGGATTTGAAAGCGACAGTGTGCCGTCCTGCCACTGGTAAGAAGTAAAGAAGCAATACCACTGGAAGCGACATTTAAAATAATTTCTCCTTTAGATCTTATTGATGCAGCCAATGTCTTCCATATGAATGTTTTACCTGTTCCGCCATGCCCATAAACAAAAAACACACCACCTTTGTTCTTTTCAACAACTGTCATGATTTCATCATAAACACCTCTTTGCTCATTTGTTAGAGCAGTTACAAGCTTCTGAAACTCATCACGTAAATTATGATGGTTATAATCTAGCTCTTTCGTAATCAAACGATTGTTTGAAGGTTCAAGACAATCATTATCAGTATAAGGCAGAGTGGAGAATTTTCTTAGAATGGAATTGTTAGGGAGTAAAATCTTTTCAATTTCAAACAATGTCAGTTCTCACTTGTTCTTCATTGAGGGATAAATCTGTAAAAAGTATAATATAAATGTAAACAATTAATACATAAAATTAAAACTAAAATACAATTTAAGAAAGAACATAATAGTTAACAAATACAAAAACAATAAATTCTTTAGTATTTAGATAATAGCGGTATAAATCTATACTTATAATATATAATTAACATACCTGGAGACTTTAAAGCAATTCGTTGATTGTAGAAAATGTCATCTGCTAAGTATTGCCATGTTTTTTGCCAAACAAACTCAGATCTAGATAGACTTTTGAAATCAGCATGGTTGCAAATAAGAAGCGTAGATAAAAACCAGATGCGGTTAAATTTGCTTCTTCAATGGCATCAATAAATTCCATGTCATCATCTAAAACCCCAAGAGCATAACATGCATCTCTAAAAGTAGGAAATATATTTCCATTTACTGTACGAATGTCTTCGAATGATTTAGGACATTTCACTTTATTCAAAAGAATTCTTAAATAATATGCTTCTCTTAGAGTAGGAGAAACTGAATGAATCCGTCCAATTGTGAAGCCTTTTTTCCTTCGATCCCAACGTCGCTCTTCCAATTTCCACACAAACTTTGTAGGGAGTTCAACGTAAGTGAGTTCTCGTGCTTCTTGATAAATTTGATTACAATTCATCCAAGCTAAGAACATTGAGGACGCCACAGATGGTCTGTTTATGACATTTTCAATATCATCTTCAGCACCAAATACCACTTGTTGTTGTCTCGAAAGATGGAAAGGAAGTCTTAAAACAGAAGGAGTCCTGTAATGAACATCGTACCCAAAAGTACGCCATGAAGCTTCACATGCAGAAACGTGTCTACAATCATAATATTTCTTTATCTCATCAACAACATTAATAGTAACCACATCATTATTGTTTTCTACAATAGCAACAGTAGCTCTATCTGGACCTTTGTTGATATATTTGAAAAAATATTGATTGAAGAAGCCTGATTGCACCACTCAACATTAATGTGTGCTTGATATCTTTTCAATAGATGTTTGTTATATGGAACGACATTTCTGTTATCTAGTTTAATACCTGATTTCTTAATAAAACGCCCATCATATCGTCTGCGATATAAAGGATAACCATTAACATCAATGGAAGTGTGTTCAGAAAATTTCTTCGGCTACTTTTTTGAACACTTTCTATCAATCATGCAGGGACAATTAATGTTCTCTTCACCACATGATCCATGGATCATGAACTCTTTTACAAGTGAGTACAAATCTAGATCTTTGTTTTTGTCTGGGATCTCAGCTGAGATAATAAGATGAATTTGTTCAACAGTAGGTAGCTTGAAATCAGAGTGCATAAACAGACATATATGAATGTGAGGCAACCCATGCTTTTGAAATTCAATTGTATAAACAACTACAAAAAAGTGACAATTTAAATTAATAAAGATATAACCGAAGTATGAAGAAATTTCTTGAGACTGTTATCATAAATTGAACATACCTGCTTGAATTTTGCCGAATAATTCATTGTCTTTCAATTTTTTAATAAGTGCATCAAGCTTGATCTTAAATAAACGACAAAGAATGTCAGGCATGTCTTCTGGATTTAGCCTGGTGTCTTTAACAAATCTTCCAATTTCTGGCCATTTAGGATTACATGTCATAGTTAAGAATAAGTCTAGATATCCATACCATTTATAAAGGAACATTGCGTCCAAATAATTTTGCATCATGTACCGAGCACCACCGGTAAAAGAAGAAGGTAACATAACACGTTGTCCAATGTTTGAAGCATCTGACTCTCATTGCTCTTGTACATTGCGTAAATTATCATAAGTCTCGCACCTTAGGACTTTCTGTTGCTTACTTATGTAATGCAATCTCTCACTTTCAATCATTGTATAACCATCACTAATAAATTATTGTAGAAGCCTCCTTGCATTGAGAATTAATGAAAACATAATTACCCTATCTTGAAGTTTGAAGGCGAAGAACTCCCTCATTGTTACAGTTGCTCTTTTACTTTTGCTTGAAGATGTTATCTATCTATGGGGAATGTCAACTCTATAACCATCTTCTACGTATGGAAACAACAACGAATATTGAAGAGGAAGGTAAGAAGGATGTAGTTCACTTATTAGTTGTAGATAACCTGTTTGATGTTTTACAATGATATCTCTCTTCTCAATTGTACCTGTTGGTCCCGTAAGGGTCTACAAGAATAGAAACAGTTTGTAGAAGGGGGGGATGAATACAAACACAGTATTTTCAAATTTAAAATATATATTGATA